CCCCAAAACCCCAAAACCCCTCTCTAAGTAAAAGAGTATTAATTTCAAGATAATGATAAAAAATAAATACAAATTATAAAGAATTAAAAGGTAAAGATAATGGAATCTACTTAAAAAGTGTAAGAAAAGTCAGGGGCAAATGATTTTAATGGGGAAGTCGATATGAACCTGGTATAATAACTTATGGAATTCGGCTTTGGATTTGAAGAGGCTATGCTTGCTTTGAAGATTTCACAGAATGATATGGCCTAGGCTGGAGAACTGCTTTCAAGTGGAGGAGCTGAACTAGAGACATTGCGAATCCTAGCCAAATCCGCTCAAATCTAGAAAGATACTGATCAATTTAAGGATGATTTGGATGATAATCAATTTTATCCAGAAGAAGTAGATTCACCCAAAGGTAAGGCAACCAAGATGGTCATTGTAGTGCGCCAAGACCAAGGTTTGAAAAACTTATCTTTAGGCAAGAGTGCTCAGTTTGTCTCTGAAGGGGTTGTTTTAGCTTATCAAAGAGGCCAGGAGTTTAATAAAAAAGTAGTTTCAGTCTGGGAGAACTAAGCATGGCCCAAAATTGCTTTGAAATGTGATGATCTTGAGGAGTTACTAAAGATTGAAGAGAATGCTAAGAATGCTAAAATCAACTCTTTTGTATTGAGAAAAAAGATAGCTTTTCCATTAAAGAGTAAGACTCAATAAACTGGCAAATAGGTAGTAGAAGAGGAAGTGAAAAATGCTGTTGAAGGCGGTGATGTCAAGAGTAATGTAGAGGAATCCAAATCTGAGGAGAAGAGCGAGGAAATCAAAGCTGATTCAGAATAGCCAATAGAGGAGAAGGAAGAACCGATACTATGTGTTGTGGGACCAGGATATGCAGATGAGATAAATAAGGTGACGGGTCATCTTAAGTTGTTATGAAAGTTTAGATTAATTAAAATTAAATATTAAGAAGAAATAAAGATAACAACTTTAGAAATAAATAAATATGGACAAGCTTTAAAAATTCGAATACATGCAGTCGATAGAGAGCTATCTTGAGGACAACTAAGTCTACGAGTTGTTCGAAGGACTCCTCAAGCAACTAGTTATTAACAGACCAGACCAACCATTAGAGTTCCTCATCCAAAAACTCTCAAAGCCAGAGCGTAAGTATAGCTTTGTCAATTTCAAATATCATCTTGATTCGTAATGCTGCAACTCTATACGATTTATATTGATTCTTGAAACTCCTGCCAAAACTATCATAATTGATGCTAATAATTTCATATAGCAAAGAGAATTTTCATGGTTGGACCTCCAGGCAGTAACAGAAAAGAAAACGCACTTGCCTTGGCTGAGTACTTCAACTGGCAAAGCATTTCAATTGGTGATCTTTTGAAAAAAGAGGTCAGCAAAAAGTCAGAGTATGGCAAGGCTATCTCAGAGAGTTTGAAGAACTACAGATATGGTAAGAAAATTTATATCAAGTTTGTTAAATAATGTTAATTTATAGTTGATGACAATATTGTGGTTGAGATTGTAAAAAATCAGATCAAGAACTGTGAGAAGGACGGCTAGTCATGGATTATTGAAGGCTTCCCAAGAACTAAGGTTCAAGCTCTCGCTCTATAAAAGATTGGAGTGATCCCAGACAAATTCATTCTCCTTGATGTTAAGAAATCAGCTTCAATTACTAAGGTCAAGAATAATCTCATCCAAAACAACACCGTCCTCTATGGGCCAGAGCTCGAGGAAACTGCTAACCAAGCTATTGAAGAATATGAACTCCACATTAAGGGAGTGAAAGAAGCATTCAATGGATTTATCTACGAATATAGTGCAGTTGACAAAGCATAAAATGATGTTGCCAATGATCTAGCTAGAATGCTTAGAATTAGATATAGAAGCAATGCCCCAAGAAGACCACCCAGAGTTATTTTACTTGGACCCCCAGGTTCTGGAAGATCTACCTAAGCTGAGGTTATCGCAAAGAGATACGGACTTGTTCACATCTGCACTAGGTCTTTGTTAAAGGCAGAGATTGCCAGAAATCCTTCAGCTGGAAAGAACATTTCACATTGTCTTGATAATGGCCTTTTGGTGCCAGATCAAATTGTACTTCCACTAGTTGAGCAAAGATTAAAGCAATCAGACTGCAGAGTCAATGGTTGGATTTTAGACGGTTTCCCATAAACAGATGCTCAGATCAACCTCTTGAAATCTTTGAAAATTAGACCTTCCCTTGTCTGTCTCTTTGAGCAAACCGAGGATGAGTCTGTCAGACGTTTAAGCAATAGAAGAATCGATCCCTAGACTGGTGCCTATTACAACTTAGAGATCAATCCACCAAAAGAAGAAGCTGTTGCTGCTAGACTTATTGAACTTCACGAAGACAAAGAGTCAACTGTTAGAAAGAGACAAGAGATCTGGAACACTCAAGTCTCCAACATCGAAGAAGCCTTCAAGAGCATGCTCCTCAACGTGCCAAGTGACAAGCCAGTGGATCAAGTAACTGAGTTCATTTGCGATGCTATACAAAACCCTATATTCTGATTCATTTTTAATTTCACTCTCTATTTAAGCATTCATAATTCATTTTGGTCAAAGTGCTTTAAAGTTTATATTTATTGAGATAATATATGCTCAGAAGCACGTCTTCATGCTTAAAAGTTTTAAAAATTAAAATTCGTATTTAGAATTTATATTGTAATTGCACAATATTATTAATTTAATGGGAAACACTTAACATTCATTATTATTAAGTGGAAACAATACTAAAGTATAGATAGACCGCGGAAAGTCGCAAAGTCCTTTTTCTGGGTCCAGAAGTTTGATAACTTCAAAATCTCCTCTCCGCCTGAATGAATAAGGAGGTATAACTCGAAATGATGCAATCGTGGATGGAATAAAAGGGAACAGAATGACTGCAAGTCATATAATTGGACCTCTGACACCTTCTAATAAACAGCTACTTACTAAAGGAAAGCTAGTAGCAATGCGAGAGTTATAGCAAGAATAGTTCCTTAAATCCTAAAATAAAAACAAACATATGAACTCAATATTAGTTCAAACGATGTCGCCTTCAAAAAAAGAAGAAAAAAAGAAGGTGAACTTAGTTGAAAGGAAATCTGTAGCTTAAACACATTATTAAGTTAATCATTCAGTGTAAGATTATACATTCAGAAATTCATTCAAAGCATACTGATCATATAACTTTATAGTTTAAGTAATAATGATGACCTTCAATCTACACCCTAGGTTATGCAAGTCAATTAAGACATTGATCTCTTACAAATGCAATATAACTAGAAAGCATTGAGCTAAATATATGCAGAAACAATAAAGTCAAGTCCAAAAAGATTTACATTTGACAAAACTGAGCTACAAGAAAAGAGAACTAATAGAAAATCATTTGAGATTCAAAGAGAGAATTACTCTCCTGAAGAATATGACACTAAAGTCAAAGTCTTCTACGATTAGGCAAAGTAAGTGAATAAGATCTAAGTGGCAACACAGTTTTACTACAAATTTACTCACAAAGCAATTAATCATTCCTTTATTCAAATTTATTAATCCTTATGTGTGGTATGTAGATATGTAACTATCAGGTGGAGCAGCCACAATATGAATTTGACTTGCGGGTGGTTGATTTCAGAAATTATGCGCCATTTGATGTTTGAGGAAGACTTTAATAAGCGTACCCACATCATTGGGATCAGGAACATTCATCAGAAAGCTAGTGAGTGCTATGACTATTTACTCACCTAGCTCGAGAGCCCCCTTCATTTTATTAAGGACGGAGATCTATTATAAATAATAAGTAAAAAAGTTATTACCGATCATATATATAGCTCCCCCCGAAAAATTCTTGCTAGGCAGCATCACTTCAGCCAACTCTAACTTCTCACCTATTTTTAGTGAGACCAATATGGGGTAGCATACTTCTCATGTTACACTCGAAGATTTTGAGTTTATAAAAGTTATAGGGAAAGGTGGATTCTCGAAAGTTTTCCAAGGTAAATATCTTATCAGAAATAAAATTCCTATCGAATAATTGTGTAACCTATATATTTCTTGTAGTTCGGAAGAAGGACACTGGAAAAATTTATGCGATGAAAACCCTTAGTAAGGCTAAAATCAAGAGAGATAATAAAGTAGAGAATATCCTCAATGAGAGAGCTATCCTAGAATAAGTTGCTCACCCTTTTATTATTCAGATGAAATATGCTTTTCAGAATGTAAGAATAAAAGATTGACTTACCAATTTAGGAAGACTATCTTTTTCTAATTTTGGAGTTTTGCGCTGGAGGAGAGCTCTTTTACAGATTGAATAATATACCTTAAGGTCGAATGACTGAGAGATAGGCTAAGTTTTACTTTGCTGAAATACTGATGGCAATCTAATATCTGCATGATAGCTAGATCCTATACAGAGACTTGAAGCCAGAGAACATTGTAATAGACGAAAATGGACATATAAAACTTACTGATTTTGGACTATCAAAGGTCGGTTTCAAAATGGGTGATAGAGCTTACTCATTCTGCGGTTCTCCTGAATATATGGCTCCAGAAATGCTACTTACAGAGAAAAATAGACAAATGGGCTTGCAGCCTTTGCATCATGATAAATCTTTAGATTTTTATCACCTTGGTGCTTTGCTGCATGAGATTTTAGTTGGTCTCCCACCATTTTTCTCTGAGGATAGATAGAAAATGTATTAGGACATCATTTATGCGCCAACCACTATCCCTTCATATCTGTCTAAAGAGTGTTAGAATCTTCTTGAAGGATTGCTTCAAAAAGAATCAACAAAGAGATTAGGTTCGAAAAGAGGAGCGGTAGAAATTAGGGAGCACCCTTGGTGTGCAGACATCGACTGGGATAGAATATTAAGAAAAGAAGTAATGCCACCATTTAAGCCCTTCCAAGATCGATCTAATTTTGATCCTGAATACACAAGTATGAATCCGATTTTAGAGGATGAAGACATCCTAGTCTCGCTAGATGATTAAAGCAAGTAGAAGAGTGCAGGTGAATTTCTTAATGAATATGAGAATAGAATAGCCAAGTCTAAAAATAATAAATAAATGCAGGAGCAAATGCAAAATTAGTAGAAACTTACAAGGTAGCATTCAATAGAGCTATATGAAAGAGAGAACAAAACCTTTAGAGGTTACTCCTTTCTGCAAGATCCAATCAATCCAAACATCATAAATCAGCATACATAAGGAGGGTTTTAAGACAATGATGGTTTTTATTTCTGTTTAGCAGATTCCAAAGACTAGAGTTTCACCTTAGGCAGTCCTATATAAGAACTCGACTGCCTTAGTGATGGAGAGATAGTCACTCTTTATCAGAGACCTTCTCATATTAATCATGCTTAGATGATGCACATCGAACAAGAAATGATGATTATGTTCCAAAATCAATCAAAAAACTAGCAAAGCCAGCAATCAATTCTAAGTGAGGACACAGAAGGCATGAAGGCCAACATAAATCAAATGTCCTTTAAGAAAAAGGATATTGAAAAAAATCTTAAAGTCTAGCTTTAGTCAAATTACCTTTCTAAAGACGGCCAGAAATTTATTCAGCAATAGCAGTCTAAAGAGTCATTATACAATGAGCTGTTGAGCACCTTTGACTATTCAGTCGGTAAAAAAGATAGAGTTCAGGAACAAATTAAGAAAAACAATAATCAGACTCTAAGTACAATGAGTCTTTTCTCTTTAAGTTAGCAAAACCATATGGGCAGCTACCTGCTCAGCCAGGGAGGAGAAAAGTACTTTCAACAAAATCTTAGCAAATTAATGGAAGAGAAAAAGATGCAGAGTAAGAGCTAGAATAAGGAGAAACTAGAATTCTAAAAAATAGTTAGGAAGTATTCACCAGAGATTGACTTGCAAAGAGCACTGGTCTAGAGCAAATAAAAAATTGCAAATGATCTCATTTAAACAATAAAGCAACAGCAGCAGCAATAATCAGCTAACAAAAAGAGTCTTTAGATATCGGTTAATAATCAATTGAACATCTAGCATGAGAGTGTTTAGTCGAGAGCTAACTCAAATAATAACACAAAGATTAACTCTTAAACTACTCAGAAAAAGACACAGCAGTTATATATTTCTGAGTATGGGACATTTGGGAATCCAAAATAAAGCAAAATAGGGAATAAAAAGAGGGTTTCAGAGACTAATTCAAACAGAGCAGGTTCTCCTTCAGAAAAAATCTTAGTAAAGCAGTAAAATGGCAAAAAATAAAGTGTTTCTAAAAATCATCACAACTCCATCTTAAAGTAAAGCTAAAATTAAACAATGCTTTTGAGCAATAATCAAAGCCAAGGCATTTAGACTTCACTTAAGACATCTTAGCTTTATAGCTAAGTGTAGACCAAAGTATCTTCTAAGAAAAGCAGGAATCAATCAAATCAAAATAAGGATGTAAATAATAACAATCAAAACTTGAATAACAACAATTTATCCAACATCATTAATAAGGAGGAGGAGTTATGTGATGATGGAGAGCAATATGTAAGTGATTAAATTCACCAAGACCATTAATTCAAAATTGAAAGCAATTATCAAACCTTAGATGAGAATCATAATTTATAGTAAAACCCGAGTGGAAAGTTTATTGTTGAACAAATCACTGCTAATGAGCTATTAGGCTCATTTTTGGCTTAGCAATCAAGTCACTCAAGCCATCATTAGATACTAATGCACCCTAATGGGGATTAGACATTAATTGATTACGTAGGAAATTCAAGCTTAGGGTCTTTAGGACCTAATGAAAGATCTTTTGAAGAGGTTTCAAAGGAAGCAATGGCAGCTATGATACTCAATCAATCCAATGAGAGCTGCTGTTGTAGTGATGATGAATTCGCATTAAAGCAAATTGGGAAAAAGTCTACTATGATGGAAAATGTAAGTCCAAAAGGCAAAATCTATAAAAACCCTAGAAATTTGTTTCATAATGGGCTCCAGGAATCAATAAATGCTAATTAGATTAAGCATTAGGCGAATGATTAGCAATTTAAGAAGTTATTAGAAGAGTAAAAAACTCTTAATCCATTTGAAGAAGAAAAAAACCCAACTTCCAAAAGAATCACTCTTAATAATTAAAATAAATTCTTCTCAGATTAGGCAATTACTACTCCGATTCCCTAAGATGGCAGATAACTTTCATAAGAGGACAAGTAAAAGGTAAACAAAAGTACGAACGCCTCAATTATTGATTTAAATTTGCAAAAGAACAGCAGAAGTATAAACACATCGCAAATAATATAAATTAAGAACGAAAAGAAAATATCTACGACTGGATTGACTACAAGACATATTGGTCTTGGAAGTAATTCAAATGCTCACAAGACTCAGTCTTCAAACTAACATACTTTGAACATGCTGAATAAAACAACTCCAATAAGTCCATTGAGAGATTCTCGCTAACCAATGCAAAACTAAGCCACAAAATTAAAGGAGAGACCTATTATAAACCTTAAGTATGAAGCAAATATTGGACAAAACAGCTAGTAGTCATTGACTATTTAAACAAATGTCATAAATTAAGCCTCATCTCTATCATTGATAAGCAGTACACCCAGAGGAACAGCAACAAGACAAAGCAAGATGCTTCTGAATAATAAACTTTCGCATGTGAATACTTTCAATAATACTCACATCTCCACGACTAAGAATCTTAAGAAATGAACCTGAAAGCCAATAAAAGCAACATTATTAGAATTAAAGTGGTTGAATAATCATTCAATCTCTTAAATTAGTAAAAATAAATAGACAGTCACATAATCACACAAAGAGACATTATATAGTTAGATATATATTTAAATTGATTTTTTACATTTTCAAGCTTAAAATGCTCAATAAATTATAATAGTTTTGGGGTTTTGGGGGAAAACATATGATTCT